GTCAGGAAAAAATAAAAATTCAATTTTGGATACAATGAATTTAAGGTATATGGGACCTCTAAGTGGAGATGTTAAGAAGGCTTTTCTGGAACTGACATGGGAGGACTGGGCTAGAAATATAAATTTGTTGACCATCATCACATGAATGACAATTTAACCTACAGGTATGATAAGAATGCCTAGGGAGAACTTATGAGACAGAATGAGTACACAGAACTATGCCCTAATGACCTCAAGTATTTACTAATTGGGTAGAGAGGATGAACATCCAAAGGCGACATTAAATGAAGGAGCAGAGACAGGGAAAAGCCAGGAGAGTATGGTATCCTGGGAGGCAGAGGATGAGTATTACAGGAAGGAGGAGTTTTCAGTAGAATCTAATGCTGCTGAGAAGTAGCATTGAAAATAGCTCAGCAGTGGAAATTACCCAAATGCTTGTTCCATCAATATTAAAACAGATGAATAATGTGGAACATCCACATAATGGGATATTATAAACCAATGAAAATGAATCAAGTATAGCTACATATAAGAATACAGATCAGGCAACCGACAGAATGGGAGAAGATATTTGCAAATGACGTATCAGATAAAGGGTTAGTATCCAAAATCTATAAAGAACTTACTAAACTCAACACCCAAAAAAACAAATAATCCAGTGAAGAAATGGGCAAAAGACATGAATAGACACTTCTCCAAAGAAGACATCCAGATGGCCAATTGTCACATGAAAAAAATGCTCAACATCACTCATCATCAGGGAAATACAAATCAAACCACAGTGAGATACCACCTTACACCTGTCAGAATGGCTAACATTAACAACTCAGGCAACAACAGATGTTGGCAAGGATGCAGAGAAAGAGGATCTCTTTTGCATTGTTGGTGGCAATGCAAGCTGGTGCAGCCACTCTGGAAAACAGTATGGAGGTTCCTCAAAAAACTCAAAATAGAACTACCGTACGACCCAGCAATTGCACTACTAGGCATTTATCCACGGGATACAGGTGTGCTGTTTCGAAGGGACACATGCACCCCCATGTTTATAGCAGCACTATCAATAACAGCCAAAGTATGGAAAGAGCTCAAATGTCCATCGATGGATGAATGGATAAAGAAAATGTGGTATACATATATACAATGGAGTATTTCTCAGCCATCAAAAAGAATGAGATCTTGCCATTTGCAACTACGTGGATAGAACTGGAGGGTATTATGCTAAGTGAAATCAGTCAGAGAAAGACAAATATCATATGACTTCACTCATATGAAGACTTTAAGAGACAAAACCGATGAACATGAGGGAAGGGAAATAAAAATAATATAAAAACAGGGAGGGGGAGCAAAAAGAAGAGACTCATAAATATGGAGAACAAACTGAGGGTTACTAGAGGGGTTGTGGGAGGGGGGATGGGCTAAATGGATAAGGGGCATTAAGGAATCTACTCCTGAAATCATTGTTTCACTATATGCTAACTAATTTGGAGGTAAATTAAAAAAAAAAAACAAAAAGAATATGGATCAATCTCATAAACATATGGTTGAAAAAAAAGAAAGGGGAAAGCAAGGAATGAATAAAGGAGACAAACAGTATATACTATATGATTCCATTTATATATGTTGAAAACCAGACAAAACTGATTTAGGGTCTTATTTTTGGACGAAGGGGACCTGAGAGGGCCTTCTGGAATACTGCAAATGTTCTCTTCCTGCTTATGTGAAGGTACTTTATGAAAATTCATCAAGCTGTACATTTATCATTTATACACCTTTCTGAATGAATGTATTTCAATTCAAAGGTTTTTTTCTCCAATACTCTTAAGAAGTCAAGTATAGCTACAATGAGAATTTGGAGGCCTACTTGGTTTGACAATATGGCAGTCAATGGTACCTTGAGGAAAGCTATTCCAGGGGAGAAATGGGTTGAAAGCCAGAGTAGAGTGAGGTGAGAAATCAGTGGAAGAGAAAAAAATATAGATGATAATTACAGATAACTCTTTGAATTTTAGCCACAAAGACTAGGAAAGTAGTAAAGTCTGAGAGAATTTGTTTTTGTATGTTTACATGGATTTGTTTTATGGTGTGTATATGTGTGTTTGATGAGAGGCTTTTTGTGCTTAAACGTGGATAGAATATCCAGCACAATGTGATTCATTAAAATACTAAAGAGATCATTGATAATGTATAGTTGTGAGAAGACAGATGGGAATGGGGAACAGAGCACAGGTAAAGAGATGATCTTATACTCAGCTTGGACTAGAAACAAGGTTTTCTGACTTCCAAACCCAGTGCTCTTTTTCTATACAGTTACCTGATTTGAAAGTGTGGGATTAGGCTAGTGGCAATATTCTAATGTTCAGTTGTAAAGGAGCTTCCAGGTTTTAATCCTGTCTCTGTGGACTTGGACAAGTTTTTAAATAACTACTCATAGTATCTTTCATGTTAAAAATGAGAACGTGAACATTTAATATCACTTCTGGAGTTTTATGGATGAATTGGTAAATCCTCAGCTAGTAGTGTTAAAAGATGCAAAAGGCTAGAATGAGGATACCTTCTCCTTGAATGTTAAAAGCTTGTGGGTAAAGTTGCCAATTATCTATAAATCAACGAATCTAAATGAAAAAGAATTGGCAGATATGATACACACGGTGGTCACGTTTCACAGTAAATTATAGAAAGACCTAGTTTCCACTCCACCTCACATTCCATAGAAGTAGAATTATTGCCACAATGAATGTAGCATGCTCATCCATGAGCTGCTACACAGTGAACATTGTATCATGGTGAAGAACATAAATGACAGATACTTTTACAGATGTCCTGTATTTCATCCACCTGTGCTATTACGAGAGGTATACAATGTGATAAGGCCATGAACTCTATTCTATTCTACTTGGGCTCAAATACCACTGCCACTGACTACTTATGAGATCAAATGAGTATGTCTCAGTTTGCTCATGTGTAAAATGGGGTAAACAATAATTACCCCATTGGATTGTTAGAAAGATTGAACTATATTATTATATATATTACTAACACTAATATCTTGTGTATAGTACTTTTATTTTTATTTATTTATTTATTTTTTATTTATATATGAAATTTATTGTCAAATTGGTTTCCATACAACACCCAGTGCTAATCCCAAAAGGTGCCCTCCTCAATACCCATCACCCACCCTCTCCTCCCTCCCACCCCCCATCAACCCTCAGTTTGCTCTCAGTTCTCAACAGTCTCTTATGCTTTGGCTCTCTCCCACTCTAACCTCTTTTTTTTTTTTCCTTCCCCTCCCCCATGGGTTCCTGTTAAGTTTCTCAGGATCCACATAAGAGTGAAACCATATGGTATCTGTCTTTCTCTGTATGGCTTATTTCACTTAGCATCACACTCTCCAGTTCCATCCACGTTGCTACAAAAGGCCATATTTCATTTTAAAGTACTATCTAATGTTATCATTATTCCCAGAAAGACAGGTCTAAGATGAGCTGAAGGCAAAGGGACTAATCTTATGGGGACAAAACAGATTCTTTAAGGAAAATATCTGAATGCTTATAACAGGTGAGGTTGGAGAACTACTATGTAGGGAAGGAAAAATAAGAACTTGAGATTTAGGGAATCCCTTATGGTACAGTGGAAAGAGGTTGTAGAGTCAAACCTGGACCAGGATCCCCTTTCTACCAGTTCTTCTGTGTGTTGTTGCACAAGTTCCTAAACCACTCTGAGCCTCAGTTCCTTCATGGAAGGAGCTGTGTAAATAAAGGAATAATAACATCTACCTTTAAGGATTGATTAATGGGCATTTTAGGGATAAAACATATAAAGCCCCAGCAAAATGCTTAGAAGAAAGTAGGATAGATGAATATTGTTCCAGTTGTTACTATTTTTATTAATAACAACAAGAATAATAATTAGAGAGGTGAAGAGAAATGGTTATATTTCATCTAGACTTTTCTTTCTTTTTTTTACTTCCTTGGGTCATGTCATAAATGTATTCTATTTTTAGCTATAACTTTTTTTTTTTTTAATTAAGTAACCCCCCCACAGGGCACCTGGATGGCTCAGTTGGTTGAATGGCCAACTTTGGCTCAGGTCAGCCCCACGTCAGGCTCTGTGCTGACAGCTCGGAGCCTGAAGCCTGCTTCGGATTCTGTGCCTCCCTCTCTCTCTCTCTCTGCTCCAACCCACTCGCATTCTGTCTCTGTCTCTCTCAAAAATAAATAAACATTAAATTAAGTAACCCCTATGCCCAACGTAGGGCTCGAACTCAAAACTCCAAGATCATGAGTCACATGCTCTACCAACCGAGCCAGCCAGGTGCCTCAATTGTAACATATGTTGTATCAAAATAACTAAACATCAATTTTTGAAAGTTAATTTAGTTCTCACTGAAAAACTGATGTCACACTGCAAAAGGCTAATTTTCATTAAATTATTTTTGAGTTTATAATCATCTGAAAATACATAAACATCATAATGAAATTTTTGTTTCTGAATTCAGGGAACAAGTGATCCTGTTAGTAAAAAGAAACAATTCCCTGAATAATCATTTTTAAACATGGAATCTTTACATTTTTCAAGAGACTGTTATACACTTTCCCCCTATCCTAAAGGTTTCATTTTTCTGGTTTGTTTTGGTTTTTCTTTTAGTAACAATTATCAGCTTATATTTATCAGTTCTAAAACAGTGGATAACTAAATTTTGAGAGAGATTCCTAAATGGATAACCACAGAACAGAAAAGTTTATGATAGCACTGGGGTGGCTCAGTTGGTTGAGTGTCCATTTCTTGGTTTCAACCTAGGTCATGGTCTCATAGTTTGTGGATTCAAGCCCTACGTGGGGCTCCATGCTGACAGAGTGGAGCCTGCTTGCGATTCTTTCTCTCTCCCTTTCTCTGTCCTTCCCCTGCTTGCACGTGTGCTTTCTCTCTCTCTCTCTCAAAATAAATAAACTTAAAAAAAAAAGAAAAGCATATCATAAATAATACAACTCTTACAAATCTCTCTTCTTTTACTTAATTTACTGAAGCAGATGATTAAGATAACTGCGGAAGTAAGAAATGCAATGAACACCATGGGGTAACACACTGTTAATAAAGGTCTATTAAATATCATTTGAAAATGTCATATTTATTTGTCACTAGTCTGAAGGTTACCCTTTTTTGTCTGAATTACAAATATTTGAATTTTATGACAGATGAGTTTACATCTGCTCTAAATGAGACTGAAAGGTTAGAAACAAGTAACACAAATCAGATCTGCAGCTTTTCAATTGCACAACTAATCCAAGATAACCAATGAGATGATTTAGGTCAAATTTCTCTTCTGAGTCCTCATTCATGTGTTATCCATATGCTTGTTCACCTAGAATGATTCACTAGCATTTTACAAATCAGGGAATACATCTGTTCTTTTTCATGTCTTCAGATTCTCCAGTTACCTCTCTATTCAGCTCATTCTGCTTGCTTCCTGTTTAACTGTGAAATTACATTTAAATTTTAGGGGTAAGATATTTAAGTACTTCATACTTTCCTTCAGATTTGCATGGTTTAATTTGGGTTACTGTTCTTGCTTCTTCTTGGTGTTTTTTGTTTGTTTTTGCCTCTTTTCAGTAGTATCAACTACACAGATGGTGGTTTCCAGCTCTCACGGTTCTTCATACTTACCCACTGTTACAGGAGTTCTTCCAGAATTAAGACTACTAACTCTCCTAGCTTCTGGAGTGTAGGGGAAAAAGATGGCTTCTTAGGATACCTATGCTTTCTCCAGATAAGATTCTATTTTCTCCAGTTATTTCTTGAACTGCCCATCCTTCTCCCATACCACAATGCTCTACTATCAGTGTTTTCTTATGAATTTGAAGCACTTTATATAAGCTGGTATTTATAAAACATTCATTTTTAATTATTCCACTGCTGAGAATACTGAAAAGAAATTAAAATAACCCTAAGAAAGTGTTCAAATACAGCTATTTGCCTTTAAACAGCAAGATGTTGAAGTAATGGTTTCAAATGAGAAAATGATACACAAATAAAAGATAACTTCTGAATTTTGAGATGGAACAGCTAGCATGGTTCACCAGCAATTTACAAGTCAGGTGCATTTACTTATTAAGCAAATGTCTAACTATATAATCACTAATAGCTTAAAATATCCAAATTAATTTGTTACATAAACTTGGAGAACATGTATTGGTTTTTTTAAGTTTTATTTGTAGTATCAGTCCTGTATTTTCTAACCTGTCATAATTAATTCAGTCCTCTTGCACTTTGAAATCTCCACAATAATAAGAACTTTATCAGGCTGGTGTTGGTATGAAGTGGCACAACAAACTGAAATCCCACCGGGAGCAGTCCACAGACTTCTCTTCTAAGCAGCAGAAAGCTGTTATCATTTTCTGAATTACAGGAACTATAAAAGGACACTCTACTCAAGCTGCCGCTGAATGTCACCTGAAAAGCAATCACAAAAGGGCTCTGTCTTGGCTTATCTCTGAGCTCTGTCACTACGGCAACCAGCAGGGAATAAGTATCTGTGGGTCTATGAATTTCAGAATCCCATAAAAGCCAGGGCTAAAAAGGCATGTGCAGCCTCTCAGAGATTGACTGCATTAATACATTAGCAAATACTGTGAAACACTGGATAAATGTCAGCAATTATGGAAAAAGCGTCTAATAACGATATTCGTTGCCTGTCAAACCCCCGTGAGGTTTGATATGTAACTGCCACTCAAAGCTGTCTGTAATTTTATCTCTTTTATACATCTGAATCCACAGCATTCAAATTTGTACTTTGAAAGTAATAAACTGTAAAGCAGTTCATTCCGTGTTGATCACAGCTGTCAACAAACATACAACAAAAGAACAAAAAGACTCATTGGCTGTGGGAACGATCACTACCAACAATCTCTTGTAGATGATTACCAAAAAAACCCTTACATACTATACATGTAGAATAGTAAACAACGTCATGATGTGGAATAGCAATTGATAGGACTATTGATTAAGTCACCTTGAGCTCAAAAAGCTACTTACCATGCAAAAATTTTCATTTTAAGCCTTATCTTTCCGTTGGAAAATTTATAAGAATGTAGCCAATTGAACACAGTTGCAAACATCCCTTTTCTTTACACATCAAAAAATGACATGGAATCTCTGTTAGCTCCAAAACAGGTTACAACGCTATCCTCACCACTTTTCTCAAACAGAGAATTATAGGCAATTGATTACATCTAAAACCCAAGAGTCTAAAGGCACAACTTAACAAACTGGGAACACTATTCTTCAGATTCATATTTCCATTGCTCAAGAAAATGACTTATTAAGAAATCTTATCACATATGTTACAGCTGTTCAAATACAATAGACAGCATGTTAACTTGCAAACACAAATGCCGGAGATTAAGTAGTGCACATATGTATTCTAAACAACCTTCGTTTCTCAGTTAGAGAATGGGGTCAGGTACAAGAGTTCTAATAAGACCTTTCTCAGTTACAGAGGAAAAGAGCTTGGTTTCTTGAAAAAGGGCAGCGGAGCCTCTGAAGAAAGCAGTAATATGTACTGGAATACTTGGCTATCAGTTATTTATTGCGATTTAGAGCCAATCACTTGACTTTTCAGAGTTACATTTAATATAAATACAAGAAACATTTACTGTTTATTTTGTGCTAGGGACTCTACTAGGTACTTAAGACACAGAGATGAATAAGATCGGCCTCTTGTCCTCAAAGAGTTCATAGTCTTATAGAGAGAAAAGTATATGTAAACAAATAAGTTATTACAACTACTCTTTATAAGAGCTAGTTAGAAGAAAGAAGTGGTTTGAAATAGCACTGAGGAAAATTTACAATAATATCAACTGTATTCCATTGTGTACTATTTTTATCAAAAATTATTTACTTATAATCTGCTACTTGGCTCAAATGAGATCATATATATGAAATGTTTGTAAACTAAAAATCACTATATGAATGTCTCTTAATGTCCTCAACTACCAGCATATGGCTACTATTCAAGAACACACATATATGCAAACCAAAGTGCTACAATGAAAATCTAAAATTCACTTACTTTCAAAAACACATAAATGCTACCCAAATAAAGGAAAATGAAGACAAATTTTCTGTTTCTGCTTTTTATGGAATAAGTGTTAAGCTTCAAACCAGTATGAGTACAATTCTGGAAAAAATCTGACTGGATATTTAAAAATTGAAATTATCTGGAGAAACATGGAACACGGAAGAAATAGCATGGTACAAAAGAAGGTACATGGCATCAGGGAGGGAGCAGATTTGGAGTTGAATACTGATTCTGCATTTTGCCTTCTCATCTATCAATTATGGTTTTAAATCAACATATTCATCATCATCTATTTTTTTAAGTTTTTTAATGTTTTATTTATTTTTGAGACAAAGAGAGGCAGAGCATGTGCGGGGGAGGCACAGAGAGAGAGGGAGACACAGAATCCAAAGCAGGCTCCAGGCTCTGAGCTGTCAGCACAGAGCCTGACGTGGGCTCGAACTAACAAACTGTGAGATCATGACCTAAGCCAAAGTCAGATGCTTAACCAACTGAGCCACCCAGGCACCCCTCATCATAATCTACTATTAAAAATAAAACTTAATGAGGCCCAGTCACCTATAATAAAATGCACCCATTTTTTAAAGTATTTTTTAAAGTTTATTTTGAGAGAGAGTGTAAGTGTGAGTGGGGGAGGGGCAAAGAGAGAATTCTGCATTGACAGCATGGAGCCCCACTTGGGGCTCGAACCCACAAACCACGAGATCATGACCCCAAAACAAAGAATCCAACCGACTGAGCCACCCAGGCACCCCAAAATGCACCCATTTTAAAGTGTACAGTTTAAGGAGTTTCGATATATATATATATTTGTAACCACCACCGCCACAATCAAAATATCAAAAATTTCTATCACCCCCCCCAATTTCCTAGTATTATTTAGTTAAGACTTTTTTTTTTTAATGTTTATGCATTTTTAGAGAGAAAGACAGCATAAGCGGGGAGGGGCAGAGAGAGAGGGAGACGCAGAATCTGAAGCAGGCTCCAGGCTCTGAGTGGGACTCGAACCCACAAACCACGAGATCATGACCTCAGCTGAAGTCAGACACTTAACCGACTGAACCACCCAGGCACCCCAAGACTTCTTTATATAATCTGGATATAAGGTGTCTGCCACATATATGTTTTCCACATATTTCATCCAAGTCTGTGGTTGCCCTTCCTTTTTTCCCTGAATGGTGTCTACTGAAGAGCAAAAGTTACAATCTGTAATGAAGCCAAATGTACTTTTTTTTTTTTCTTTTATGGTGAGGGCTTTTAGTGTCCTAAGAAATTTTTTTCTACTCTCAAGTCTTAGAAGATTTTCTCCTATATTTTCTTCTACCAGTTTTACAGCTGTAGCTTTTGCATTTAGGTCTATGATCCATTTCAAGATAATTCTTGTGTATGACATAAAGGTTCAAGTTGTCCTTACTGACATGACTATTTGTTTAAAAAAAAAAAAAGGACCATCCTTTCTCCATTGAACTATTTTGATATCTTTGTACAAAATCAATTGACATATATATATATAATATATATAGTTAATGTATGTTTATATGTGTATACACACACACACAATCTATTTCTGAATGCTGTATTTTATCCATTGATCTATATGCCTGTCTTTACACATATCACATTGGCTTGAATACTGTATTCTTTTTGAAATCAGGCAGTATAGTCCACCAACTTTGTTCTTTTTCAAAACTGCTTTGGGAATTCTACATCCTTTATATTTCTATATAAATTTTAGAAGTAACTTATCAATTTCTACCCCAAATAAGCTATTGAGATTTCGATTGGGAATGCAGTAAATCCATAGATTAGTGTGGGGAGAAATAAAACCTTTGAAAATATTGAAGTTCCAATCCATGACCATGATATACCTCTCCATTAAAAAAGTTTTTTTTTTAATGTTTATATTTGAAAGAGAGATAGAGAGATATGTACACAGTGTGAGTTGGGGAGGGGCAGAGAGAGACAGAAGCAGCCTCCAGGCTCTGAGCTATCAACACAGAGCCTGACGCAGGGCTTGAATCATGAGCTGTGAGATCATGACCTGAGGTGAAGCCAGATGCTTAACCAACTGAGCCACCCAGATGCCCCTATACCTCTCCACTTTTAAGGACTTTATAGGTACACCTCATTTTATCGTGCTTCACTTTGTTAACAGTGTGGTTTTTTTATTTTGTTTTGTTTTGTTTTACGAATGGAAGGTTTATGGTAACTCTTTATGGAACAAGTCTATCAGTGCCAATTTTTCCAACAGTATTTTCTCACTTTTTGTCTTTGTGCTGCATTTGGGTAATTCTTACAGTATTTCCAACTTTTCCATTATTATTATATTTGTTACAGTTATATACGATCAGTGATCTTTGAAGTTACTATTGTAATTGTTTTAGGAGACCATGAACCACACCTATATAAGGCAGCAAACTTAATAAATGTTATGTATGTTCTGATTGCTCTAAAACCAGCTTTTCCCCATCACTCTCTCTCTCCTCAGGCCTCCCTATTCTCTGAGACACAACATTATTGAAATTACACCAGTTAATAATCCTACAATGGCCCCTGAGTGTTTAAGTGAAATGAAGAGTCGCAGGTGTCGGGTGCCTGGGTGGCTCAGTTGGTTGAGCATCTGACTTCGGCTCAGGTCATGATCTCATGGTTTGTGGGTTCGAGCCCCACATTGGGCTCTGTGCTGACAGCTCAGAGCCTGGAGCCCTACTTCGGTTTCTGTGTCTCCGTCTCTCTCTGCCCCTCCTCTGCTCATGCTCTGTCTCTCTCAGTCTCTCAAAAATCAATAAACATTAAAAAAAAAAAAGAGTTGCAGGTCTCTCGCTTTATATTAAAAGCTACAAATGATCAAGCTTACTGAGGAAGACATGTAGAAAGACTGAGAGCTAGGCCTCTTGCACTAGTTAGCCAAGTCATGAAGGCAAAGGGACAGTTCTTGAAGGAAACTAAAAGTGCTACTCCAGTGAATATATGAATAAGAAAGCGAAATAGCTTTACTGCTGATATGGATAAAGTCTGAGTGGTCTGGATGGAAGATCAAACTAGCCACAACATTCACTTAAGCCAAAACCTAATCCAGAGCAAGGCCCTAACACTCTTCAATTCTGTGGTGGCTGAGAAAGGGGAGGAAGCTGCAGAAGAAAAGTATGAAGCTAGCAGGGGCGTGTTCACAGGATTTAAGGAAAGAAGCCATCTCTATAAGATGAAACTACAAGGTGAAGCAGCAGGTGCTGATGTAGAAGCTGCAGCAGGTTATCTGGAAGCTCCAGCTAAGATAATTAATGAAGGTGGCTACACTAAACAACAGAATCTCAATGTGGACACAACAGCCTTATATGGAAAAGGATGCCATTCAAGACTTTCATTGCTAGAGAGAAGTTAATGCCTGGCTTTAAAGCTTCAAAGGACAGGCTGACTCTTGAAAGGGACTAATGCAGCTGGTGGCTTTAAGTTGAAGCCCATGCTTCTTTACCATTCTGAAAATCCTAGGGCCCTTAGGAATTACAGTAAATCTACTCTGCCTGTGTCATTCATTCATTCATTCATTCATTCAGACAGCAAGTGGGGGAGAAGGGCAGAAGAAGAGAGAATCTCAAGCTCAACATGGGGCTCAATCTCACAACTCTGGGATCATGACCTGAGATGAAATCAGGTCATGACTCCCCATGTGCCCCAACTCTTCCTGTGCTCTTTAAATCAAACAAAGCTTAGATGACAGCAAATCTGTTTACAGCATGGTTTACCAAATATTTTAAGCCCACTGTTGAGACCTGCTGAGAAAAAAAGATTCCTTTCAAAATACTACTGCTTATTGACAATGTTCCTGGCCACCCAAGAGCTCTGATGGAAATGTACAAAGAGATGAATGTTGTTTTCATGCCTGCTAATACAGCATCAATTCTGCAGCCCATGGATCAAGAAGTCATTTTGACTTTCAAGTCTGATCATTTAAGAAATCCATTTTGTAAGGCTATTGCTGTCATAGATAGTGATTCATCTGATGGATCTAGACCAAACGGATTGAAACGTTCTGGAAAGGATTCACCCTTCTAGATGCCATTAAGAACATTTCTTGATTCATGGGAAGAAGCCAAAATATCAGCATGAACAGCAGTTTGGGAAAAGTTGATTCCAACTCTCATGGATGACTTTGAGGAGTGCAACACTTCAGTTAAGGAAGTAACTGCAGATGGGGTAGAAAGAGCAGGAGAACTAGAATTAAAAGTGGAGTTTGAAGATGTGAACGAATGACTGCAATCTCATGATAAAATGTGAACAGATGATGAGCTTTTTACAGATGAACAAAGAAAATGGCATCTTCAGATGGAATCAACTCCTGGTGAAGATACTATGAAGACTGTTGAAATGACAACAGAAGATTTAGAATATTACATAAACTTAGTGGATAAAGCAGCAGCAAGATTTGAGAGGAGTGACTCCAGTTTTGAAAGAAGTTCTACTGTGGGTAAAATGCTATCAAACAACATCACGTGCTACAGAGAAATTGTCCATGAAAGGAAGAGTCAATCAGTACAGATTTTATTTTTGTCCTATTTTAAGATATTGCCACAGCTACCCCAAACTTCTGCAGCCACCATCCTGATTAGTCAACTGTCATCAACATCAAGATAAGACCCTCCACCAGCAAAAAGATTACAAGTCACTAAAAGCTTAGATGACAGTTTTCATATTGAGCAATAAAGTGTTTTTAAATTAAGGTATGTACATTGTTCTTTTTAGACATAATGCTATTGCACACTTCACAGACTACAGTATAATGTAAACATAACTTTCATACGCACTAGGAGAAAAGTATTTGTTTGACTTGCTTTATTGTGGTATTTGCTTTATTGCAGTGGTCTGGAAGCAAATCTTTGGTATCTCCGAGGTATGCCCATATTTCTTTATGCAATAATTTGTAGTTTTCAGTGTATAGAGATCTTACACATATTTTGTTAGATTTATCCTTAAATATTTCATGTTTTTGGGTGAATCATGAATAGTATATTATTTCAAAAACTCCATTTTCTGGAATTATTACAACCAATCCCTCAGAAATACAAGCAATTATCAGGGAATACTATGAAAAATTATATGCCAACAAACTGGACAACCTGGAAGAAATGGACAAATTCCTAAACATCTGCACACTTCTAAAACTCAAACAGGAGGAAATAGAAAGCTTGAACAGACCCATAACCAGCAAAGAAATTCAATCAGTTATCAAAAATCTCCCAACAAATAAGAGTACAGGACCAGATGGCTTCCCTGGGGAATTCTACCAGATATTTAAAGCAGAGATAATACCTATCCTTCCCAAGCTATTCCAAAAAATAGAAAGGGAAGGAAA